TTTAGGCTTAATGGTCCGAAGTATTCGGAGTGCTAAAGTGCATTATTTCACTCTTTGTAATATCTACTCTAGGTAACTGTTAGAAACTGTTGTTTATTTCATAAGAACTACGCAGAGTGAATCGTCTAATTTCACAGCAAAGCCCAGCCACGATTTACATCCCAAGTCCCAACTTGACATGTAAGAAAAGTACACACGTTTGAAAGCATAAGCACATTTAAGCTAACTTGAAACTCTACCTTGAGTGTCCTGCAACTGCTAGGATGGGAACTCTGGCTGAACATATAGCTGGAACGAGTTCATTGTACATGATTGGCCCTAGAATACCTACAAGAAAGAAACAACGGGAAAAGGACAATTTGCTAAATGCACATGCCAAACCTACACACGCACGTACTTACTGTTTCACATAGTAACACAGAGCGACCTTCTGAGACTGCAAAATATCAACTACTTTTCTTATACTTATCCTATGCGCTATGCAATAGGACACGGATGATGCCCTGTAGGGGATGGAGGAGTTTCGTTCACGTCTCTGGAAGTGAATGCTCAGCGTTGCAGAGGCAAGTGACTTATGTGGTCTCAATTGAACTATCCACCTTCAATAAGCCAGTGTAGTGGTGGTAGCATATGTAGCCCGTTCTCAACGCGAGATGTGGGTTGACTGCCTAAAATGTGGTTGGGTGCCGTTGTTAGCCCTAAGCACATTGAAAGGCACCCACAAGTCCGTCCACATAGGATGTCGTCTGGCTATAATAACCTTGCACATCTCCCCGAGAAAGCATGACCAGTCAAATTTAGCGTCAGTCTCAAGGCAGAGTCCTAGCACTAGTCTCACTTCTTTCATCCAGCGCTGACCACCGAACAAAACACAGTCAGAAACTGAAGTTCCAATCTCGTCCACATACTAAAACATGGTCTACTAATGAAGACCACAACTCAGTGGGTTGTGCAGGATGATTCTTACCGACCAGCTACAAGTGTTGCCAAAACACCTGCAGGCAAACACCTTTGAAGGTGTTGCTTTCTAATGCACGTTAGTACGGACAGAGGGATCAATTACTGTGAGAGATTTCAAAGCTGCTAAACTGACATGAAAAATAACGTAAACGCATACGACGTCCAAAAGATCAACGGTCCATCAGACCTGCAAAGGAAATCATAGCGGGTCATAGAACTACGATAGCAGTGTCCCTGGAAGGACGTTAATATGGTTCTAAACTGAACAGTAGCCTGAAGAAAACGAATAAATTCGTGCTCCTTCTCCTGTAATAAGACAGCATGGACGATTTGCA